GCTCTTGCTCAGGCTGGTTTCGAACTCCTGAGCTCAAACAATCCGCCCGCCTCGGCCTCCCAGAGAGCTAGGATTACAGGCGTGAGCCACTGCGCCCAGCCATCAACAAGTTTTAAGGAATAATATTTATTATAATATTTTAGGTTTCAAAGTATAATGCTGTTATATGTATTTCCAGAATATATTGTGAGGATAAACAGACCTTCTTGCAGGACTGTGAGGATGATGGGGAAACAGCAGCTGGTGGACGTCTTCTTCATCTCATGGAGGTAGGCTTAAGTTAAACTCTATTAATCCTGATCTGTATGAGCCATAAAATTTCTCAACAAAACAGAGGTCCATTTAAGAATAAGTAAATCAGTTAAATTATATAATTAGTAGTTAATTTTAAAATATTGATTAAAAATTTTAGCTGCTGGATATGGGGCAGAAAGCAAATAGTTAATAAATTCTGTGCTTTCAAGACATAGACAATAGAATATTGTCTTCAACTTTGTGAAAACTTGTTCTCTTTGTTTTTTTGACAATTTCCTTGCCTTTCTTTTTTCTGTTCTATATCTTTGTGGTACTCCTGTTAGTTGGATGTGGGAATTTCTGGATAGATCTGGAATGTTTTTTTATTAAGTTGTTCATCTCATTGTCTTTATGTTCTGAGACATTTTCTTGACTGTCTCCCAAAATTTCTGTTGAATTTTTAATTTTTTTTAGCAACCATGTATTTAATTTTTAAGAGTTCTTTCTTGTTCTTTAATTTTCTTTTTTTATTATGTTCTGTTCCAGTTTATGGATTCAATGCTTTCTAATATTTCTCTGAGTATATTAATTAGAGTTTCTTTTTTCAGATGTTCTCACCCTTAAATTTTTCCTGATCCATTTTAGTTTGTTTATCTTGTGCTTTCTCTTTCATGCTGCTGGATTTTCTTCATCTGTCTGGTGATCATTGATTGTCCATTAATTTTAAGAATGGATTGTTTTTTTCCTAAGGTAGTTACTTGGTTTCTTCTGTTAATTGTATGTGTAGGTTTGTTTTCTAACTAGGCCTTTCCCTTGAGTAGTAACTCTCTGTGTGGGTCAGGCCTATAGACCGGTGGGCTTCACATTAAGGGCAGCATTTGACAAAAGTCAAACTGATGAAGATCTTACTGGTAGGCACCAGCAATTGATTACCCATGCAGCCCCTGTTTTCTCCAGTAGTTTGTTTAGAGTCAGGATTTTTGTTGCTGTTTGGCCTAGTGGTGAAAGGTGGCCTAAACTGAGCTGCTCTGGTTGAAGTCACCAAGAACTGGCACCCAACTTGCATGGTCTCGCTTTCACTCTGCCCAGTTGCCCCAGTGTTTGCAATTTGAGGACATCATGGAACACAGTGTTAGTTTTCCAAATTCCCTTCTGTTCTAATATTTCACCCCTTGAGTTGTGAGTAATCTCACTCAGTGCATACTCTTATGGCTCTGCCATTAAAGTCACTGGGAAATTTTATGTGCAATTTTATACATGGGTTATTTCATTCTCCTTTAAAACTCACATTTGTCCATGTCTATGTGTGTATCTAATTATGCTTCTGAAAATAACAGATTTTGAATGTGAGGAATGTCATGGTGGTGGTGTCACGCTGGTATGGAGGGATTCTGCTGGGACCAGATCGCTTTAAACATATCAACAACTGTGCCAGAAACATACTAGTGGAGAAGAACTACACAAATTCACCTGTAAGTGGCTATTGATACTATATCTAGAGATATACATATTTCTCATCACTGCCTGTAAAAATTAAAAAAAAAAAAAAAGGACAGAAAATTAAGAACGAATCAAAATGCGGATGCTGCATTAGTAAAACCTTTGGTCTAAGAAGCTGGAGACTTAGGCTCTAATCAAAACAGTGTGTCTGGCCAGTCATGTGACCTTGGGCAGATCACTCCATCCCTTTAAACCGTGATTTCATAGGTTCATGGACTTTTATAATTAGAAAACCTTTCAAGACAAACTAGGTTCTACCCTCTAAAATTGAGGCCCAGAGAGGTTGTAGCTAATGTCACACTGGACTACATGTTCTTTAAATATCTATAAAATTCTAAAATTGTCTGTTAATGCCAAAGTATTTCCCCTTCCCTTGGCATGCCTTTAGATGCTTTCTTCCCTTATACTTTGAGTTTGTTTAATATTTTAAGCATGTTCATATCTATTTAAACCCTACTGCCTTACTTGAGAAAGTAGACAATAGATTAAATAATATTAAAATTATTCAAACATAAATCTAGATAAATAATTCTTCCTTGGTTATTCATGATTGTTTTGAAAATATTGTAATAGACTACAAGTGAAAATGCCATGTAAAACACAAAGATACATATGAAAGTGATTATGCCCTCACCATAATA